TTCTATCTGTGGCCAGTGCTTCTCGGGTAGCTGAATCGATGCCCCACTTGATGGGCCTTGAAGTGTGTCTGGAGCCAGTTGCAAGTTCACCAAACAGAATTTCTTTGGGAATTCATTCAGCATCCATCCGTCTGACATGGCCGAGCCAACATAGGTGACTTTCATTGAGTAATGAAAACATGCTTGGGATGCCTGCAAATTCCAGAACGCTTGTATCTGAGATGTGATCCCGACATTTAATGCCCAAAATTCTCCTGAGGCTGGGTAGGTGGAAAATGTTAAGCCTGCGTTCCTGATGCGTACAGAGCGTCCACGCGTCATTGCCGTGGAGAAGAGTGCTTAACATGCAGGCTCGGTAGACTTACAATTTGGTGATGGTGGTCAGCATGCAGTTCTACCAGACCCTCACAGAGAGACGAGCCATGGCTGAGGCAGCCTGTTTAGTTCAGGGTCCAGTGAAAAGCTGCTTGAAATGATGGAGCCCCGGTAGGTAAACTCGTCTACAGCATTGAGTGTTGACTTGCCAATTTTAATGACCAGGATGTTCCTCACATTCTGCCCAAGCACATCAGTCTTCTTTATGCTGATAGTCAGGACAACGTCAAAACAAGCATGTGCGTAGAATTGCACCAGTCATTGGCAAGGTCATACAGGCTGCCATTACTTTTGGTGTGAAAAACGATACCGTCCACGGACTCTCTGAAGGCGTAGGAAAAGAGAAGATGCCAAAAAAGTGTTGGGGCGAGCATGCAACCCTACTTAATGCTACTCTTGATTGAGGAGGGATCTCTCGTTTGGCAATAATACCAGACAGTTCGTTGCATGTCCTCGTGGGAGGATATAATCAGCCCAAGGAACATGGGTGGACATGCGATCTTTTGCAATAGGGTAAAAAGGTCTTTCCTGCTGACCAAGTCGAATGTCTTAGTCAGGTCAATGAATGCCATGTAAAGTGGCTGTTGCTGCACACGCCATTTCTCCTGCAACTGATGTAGTGAAAAGGTCATGGTGACCGTTGACCTGCCAGCTTTGTAGTCACATTGGGTCTCACTTGCGCTCGAACTTTTTCCACGATGTTGAGAAGGGAGATGCTAGAATAGTTGTTGCAATCACTTCTGTCTTCCTTGTTATAGAATGTGACTTTATCTGTGTCACGCATTTCTTGAGGCAGAGTTCCTTCCTCCCAGCATTGTAAAAGTAATTGATACAGATGGTCAAGGAGTATCGCATCTTTTCCAGCCTTGACGACTTCTGGCAGGATGCCATCCTACCCTGGAGCTTTGCCACATGCTAGTGAGTCAATGACCTGACAGAGTTCATATACAGAGGGCGGGTTGTCCAGCTCTTCCATAGTGGGCAGGTGTGGTATTATTGTTTTGGCAGTGTTAAGTCGAGGTTGACTTTTCCGCTTGTTTTATGTATTCGGCAAGGTAGGAGTCTAATTTTGCTAGACTAGAGAGTGGTCTGTATCGCAGTCAAAGCTGTGGTAGGTACTTGTGGGAAGAACAAAATTTAGTGAAGGTCTCCTGGTCATAATGAGATCCAGCTGGCGCCAGTGCTGTGATCTAGGGTGCCTTCATGTGCAGGCTTGACAGAGAAGAATGTGTTGGTGATGCAGAGGTCATGGTAATAGCAAAATTCGAGAAGTCTCTGTCCATTTTCAGTTATCTTCCTAACACCAAAGTGTCACTGAAGCCAGGAGTCATGATCGGCGCCTACTTGAGCATTAAAGTCATCAAGAAGGTAAAGATGTTCCGTGCTTTGAATGACTTTAATGGCGTTGTAGGGCTCCTCATAGAACCCGTCTTTTGACTCTGATGGAGAAGATAAGGTTGGGGTATAGAACCTGAAGATTTTCACAGGTCCTGCAGAGGTAGACAGGCCACTGGATGGGGATTCCACTAGCATTAGATCGGGGTTCTACTGACTCAAGGAGAGAGTTCTTAATCGCAAAGCCAACACCATGAAGACCGGGTTCCTCGGGCTCCAACCCCTGCCAGAAAGTGTAGTTTACTTCCCTGAGGCAGCTGTTTAATATGTCTTGTTTCCTACAGTTCCGCAATGCCAACGTTGTGTCTTCTGCTCAAGATCAATGGTGGCTGTTTTCCTGGAATCATCAACTTTCTGTGGGACTTTGAGAGGGGCAAGGCACAGTGGCCTCACATTCCAGCTTGCGAGTCATCGTAAGGGTTTAATCTTTCTTTTTCTTTCATGTTTGCATGGTGTGAAGATTTACAGTCTTTAATTAAAATTTTGTCCTACACTCCCAGCACCCGAGGGAGTTGGCAGACTGTGGTAGGTCAGCACTTTATTGGCTGGGGGCTGCCCAGCCTAAGGGCAGGCAGTAGCTGACCCGTTTGATGTGATGATTCCTCCTCTCAAGAGTGCAAGCCTGGGAAAAGTTGGCTGCAGGAGTTTCCTGTAGTTGGTAAGCCAAAGACATCAGGGTCCCTTAGGTGGTTTGTGGCACCTGCCGCTCCTTTATTGTGCCTTCTACGCTCTCTACGGCCTCACTGAAGGAGCAAAAAGAGCAAAATAGACAAAGAAGTCGTGCAATTGAAATACAAGGTTTTAAGTCATACCCAGGACTATCTTCAAACAACATATTGTACTATATGAGTCTAAGCAAAATCAATGCAGACTTTTGGATTCCATCATTGAAAGCATAGAAACCGAGTCAGAGCGCGGCGAACCAAATTTACCGCTGATTACGTTTGCGGAAGTTTTATTCTCAAGAGGCCAGGGGAGCTTATTCGCAAACGGCATCTGTCGAAAAGGTTTTTCAATGTTTAAAATAAAAATTGCCGACAAAAGAGACAAAGGACGGTTGACAAGTTGTGGCAGAGTACGAATCCGATGAGTTGGCGTCCGCCTCCGAAGATGAGGAAACGGCTCAAAAAGGCTAGAGAAACGGCGAGTCGAAAGAGACGACCGAAAAGGACCAACTCACAAGATGGGAGCGGAAAAAAAGCAAGAACCGCTGTGGGTTCTGATAATCAGCTTTTTCGTGGTAAGAAAAATTGCCTACAATTTACTTTGTGATTTCATATGGTTTTGGATCCGCTTACGCATCCCACCATACTGCTTGTCTGATTTATTTATTACGGGAATTTAAGGTCGTTAACAGGTCCCTAATTAAACAAAGAATCAAATACGAGGATTGGAAAATTGCTATGGCTTATTTTGCCAAGGATTCGTACATGTTTTCTTTTGACTTGAAAAGTGGCTACCACCATATCGAAATTTCGCAGGATCACCAAACGTTTTTGGGGTTTTGTTGGCGTGCTCCAAATTCCAATAACGAAGTATTTTACGTTTTCACCGTTCTTCCGTTTGGTTTGTCTACAGCTCCCTATATTTTCACAAAGCTTCTTACACCTTTAGAGAAACATTGGAGAATACAAGGTACTTGCATAGCTATTTTCTTAGATGATGGTTGGGCGATAGTTCAGGACAAAGAAGGTTGTCTTCGTAAGGCCCAAACCGTTAGGCAGGACTTGTATGGTGCGGGTTTTGTAGTGAATGAAGAGAAATCGGTATGGGAACCTACTCAAATTTTGGACTGGTTAGGTATAACCTGGAATTCTTTATTGGGTACTCTAAGAATTGTAGAGAAAAGAATTACTAAGATTACCAACGCAATAGATCGTATTATTGGGGCCAATTTTAAACTTTCTGCTAGAGAGCTGGCTTCTTTCACGGGTCAAATTATCTCTACTGCGCCTGTGTTTGGAAACATTGGTAGGATAATGACCAGACATTGCGTTATGTCTACCTTGTGTGTAGATAATTGGGATTCAGTATTTTGTCTTGATGATTATTGCAAAGAGGAATTATATTTTTGGAAAGATAATTTGATTAACCTCAACAGCAGATATTGCTTTGTAAGTAAAGATCCTAGTTATTTTGTTTACTCAGATGCTAGCGCCACTGGAGGCGGTGCATTCCTTGACTTTAACAATGACTTTGTGTGTCACAAATTGTGGACGGAGAACGAAAGTTTGCGAAGCTCAACATGGAGAGAGTTATCTGTTATTGAATTTTCATTGAAATCATTTGCCCCTGTACTTAAAGGATCGCACGTTAAGTGGAAGAAACTTGATCTACACAGGATTGCGCGGAGCATTTTCAGTATTTGTATCCAGTCGGGGATTCATTTAGAGGTCCAGTGGATTCCACGTACTTTGAATCAGCAAACTGACTATATAAGTCGATTAATTGGTACCGATGATTGGCAAATTACCAACGAATTTTTTCTATTTCTTGATGAGCGTTGGGGGCCCCATACTGTTGATTGTTTTGCCAGTTATTACAATCACAAAGTGCCCAAATTCTTTTCAAGATTCTGGAATCACAATACTGCAGGTGTCGATTTCTTCTTTCAGCCTCTTGGCGGGGAAAATTGTCTAGTGGTTCCACCCGTGGGTATTGTTCCACGTGTTTTGCATTATATGAAGTGTCAGTATGCCGTTGGTACACATGTTGTACCCTTCTGGCCTTCAGCTTATTACTGGCCATTAATTATGCACAGATACGGTGATTCTCTTGAGGCCCACGTTATTCGTGCTGGGAGGGAGGTTCTTATTCATGGAAGAAATCATAATTCGCTGCTAGGGTCTCACCAATTCACAGGCTATATTATCGCCTTAAGAATGGAATTTACTGAGTAACAATTTGGACTTGTTCATCAAGTGTGTTGGCACTGGCCTAAGCAATGGTTTGATTTCATGAGGCACTGGCCAAAACAATGATTTGCATCTTGTGGCACTGGCCTAACAATGATGTCTTGTTTTAAGGGCACTGGCCCAGACTCCGGCCCAAACAATGATCCATTGGGCACTTTGGGATTCCCATCTTATTGTCACTACACTAAGGGCGTGCGTTTTGTTCCTTTTAGTTTGTATGTTGTGTTCTTGTTTTTTCAGATAATTTCTCCAAGCAAGTCATGGAAAGGTTCCCCAGTTCTTTCGTCATTGAATGCCAATCAGGTTTTAGACGTGATGTTGAAATCCAGAGCAGATGCTACAGCAAAATCCTACATGCGAGTTATTAAGAAGTTTTTGGATTGGTGTAAAAGCAAGCAAATAAGCTTTGAGCTACCTTTTCCTTTAGGTGTCGTATCTCTTTATTTGTTCGAAGTCCAACAGTCTTGTAGTTCCAGTTCTTCTGTAATTTTGACCCACGCCGCCCTTAAATGGCTACATTCATTTGTTCCTAGTCTTGATTGTAACCCATTGGATAGCGATTTTTGCAGAAATATTATCGAATCTGCCAAACGCCAGAGGTAACAACCGATTGTGAAAAAGAAACCCATTACCACAGAAATCATTAGGAACATATTGGATGTTCATAACAAGGAAGAGTCTAATCTGAAGGATCTTCGTATTGCCGCATTATGCTCATTAGCTTTCGCAGGTTTTCTTCGGTATGACGATTTATGTAATATCGTTCCGAAGCATATTGAGTTTCATAATGATTATATAAGGATTTTCTTGCCTCGAAGCAAAACCGATATTTATAGGGAAGGGAATTATGTCTATATTAGCGCTTCCACATCTAAGTACTGTCCTGTCGGTGTCTTAAGAAGGTATTTGAACCTTTCTGGGATTGACAGCAATAGTAATCTTCCTTTATTTAGACCTCTAACTTTTCACCCTAGTAATTCTAACTATACCCTGAGAAGTGGTAAGATTTCTTATACTAGATGCAGGGAAATTCTTAGAGATTGCCTGAGTAAGCTAGGTTATAATCCTAATAATTTCGGTCTTCATAACTTAAGATCCGGTGGCATTACATCTGTAGTGCGTAATAGTGGTCATTCGATTTCAGAAAGACTACTTAAAATACATGGTGGATGGAAGTCTGACTCTGCCAAGGACATGTACATTGAAGAGAGCCTTGAGAATAGATTACAAGTAACTAAGTATTTACGCTTGTAATATCATTGAGCATTTATATTTCACACGTTCCTTTATTCTTTATATTAGCGTAAACAATAAAGCGTTCCACTTTTATAAAAAAAAAAAAGTAATAATTTTTGTATTATGATTTAATGTACTTAATGTAATTAATGTAATATCATTGGGCATTTATATATTTCACACGTTCCTTTATTCTTTATATTAGCGTAAACAATAAAGACTTCTACAAATGAATTGTAAAAAAAAAAAAAAAGAGTAATAATTTTTATGTTATGATTTAATCTAAATGTAATAAACTGTGTTTTGGATCCGCTTACGCATCCTATCATTCTGCTTGTCTGATTTATTTATTACGGGAATTTAAGGGGTAAAATAATTTACGTTCGTTTGAGCGAAGCGAATTAGAACGTAAATTCCTTTTCTAGGATAATTGTGTTGATCATGGTGAACTGTCATGGTCACTCTCAATTTCTTTATGTCTGTCAGTGTCACTTTCTCTGTTACTGACACTGTGACTTTCTTTCGACCATCAAGGTCGGTGACACTGGCACAGTAAAAGTCTCTCCAACTATCACTGTCACTGTCTCAGCTAATGTCGCTGGCACACTGTAACTGTCACTCTCAGCATCACTGTAAGTTCATTGTCACTTTCACTGTCCCTTTAACTTACCCTGTAACTGTTACTATTTCTGTAGCTATCACTGCAAATGTCACGTTCACGGTCACTCTCAGTCAGTGTTACTCTTACATTCACTATCACTGGTAATTTCACTGTCTATTTCAGTGTCACTGTCTCTCTCACTGAAACTGTCAAAGCCACTGTTTCTGTCTCTGGCTCTATCATTGTTGGGATCACTTTCTTTGTAACAGTCTCTGACACTGCTACTCTTACTTTCCCCAACACAGTTAATGTCACTATTCCGGTTTCTGTTCCTGTCTTTCTCACTGACACTGTCATAGTCACCATCACTGTCACTGTCATCAACCATCGTCTAATTCAATTATTCTGTGAACGTCAATGTCCCTATCACTATCACTGTCAGTGTCAGTGTCACTGTCAATGTCACTCTCACTGGTGCTATCACTGTAAATCTTGGTATCACAGTCTCTCTTACTGACACTGTTACAGTCTTGGTCTCTGTTTCTGGCTTTAGCAACAGTGTCAGTCAACATCTCTGTCAAGGTTTCTCTTACTATCACTATCAGTTTTAAAGTCAGTCTAAAAGTCTCCGTCATTGTCTCTCTCACTGACACTGTCACTTTCACTATCATTTTCACTGTTTCTGTCTTTGACAATATCAATGTCACTCCCACCACAATTGTCAATGGCTCTGTCACTGTTTCCATTTTTGTAACTTTCATTTTTAATGTTAATGTCACTACATCGTCACTCTTCTCTGTCACTTTACTGTCCTTGTCAGTCACAATCACAGTAAATGAACTTCCTCTGCCACTGACTCATCTTATTAATCTCTTACTCTTTGTGTCATTGTTTTTGGATTTTTACAACATTGAAATTATTAGACAGAATAAATATATACAAATTTATACATTAAATGGGAAAATGATGGTTTGAAGAACAAAAGAAAACCTTAATTAACACTAGCTGTCGCATTCCAAAAAGTAGCAGTCAAATACATTTGTAATAAAATCAGGTGTCACAGTCAACATCTCTTTATCTATCACTGTCTAGTGTTGATGCATCTTTGTAACCACTGCCACTACCACTAACTCTGTCTCTATCACTGTCTCTGTAAAAAGTACTGTTACTGTCACTGTTGGTCAATGGCACCGTAATGTCTCCCTCGGTAGTGGTCACTGTCTTTGCCATTCTGTCTGTCTCTGTAACTTTCATTGTCATTGCCACAATCACTAACTGTGTCACTGTTACTGTCATCTCACTATCAATGTCAGTGTTACTATCATTGCACTGTCACTTCCCCGTTCCCAACCACTGTCTCTGTCACTTCTATATTACTATCACTGTCTGACAATTTACTGTCAATTTCACTGTAACAATGTCTGACACAGTGACTGTCTTCATGTTTGTATCTGTCACTCTTAGTGTCAAATACTTTGTTATCACTCTCTCAATAAAACTCTCAGTCACTGTCTCAATCCATTGTCAATGTCTGTCAGTCTCTGTCACTACAATTTTTCACCATTACCGTCACTGTTACTGCCATTTTCACAATCACTGTCACTGTCATTTGTCTTTTTTGTGTCCTAACTCTTTTACCTTTCCCTCAACTCACTCTATGCTTTTTACTTCTTGCTATCTTTTTTGCTCTCTCTCTTTCTAACATATTTTCACTCAAATCCCTTTCCCATTTCTCTTGAATTGACTTAAAGTTCTTCAAGACTTTTTTGGATCTGTTCTTTAACTCATGAACTTGTTTTCTTGTGGTTTCAGATCTGAGGAGGTTGTTTAAATCATAGATGACATACCTTGTATCTTCTTTTACAGCTTTTCATTGTTCAATTTCTTTTTCCATTGTTTTATGCATGATTTTTCCAAAAAATTAAAATTTTTAGGTTTGTGGGATTTCCATAGTTGGTACAAAGGGTATAATAGATGTTGTCTATAATGATTTATTTTTCATATTTGGATTGTTCATCATGACAGGAAGAAGAGTTGCATTTTCTACTTGACACCAAATGAAATGGATTCCATTGTTCCTATCATAGAGACATCAAGTGCTACCAAGGGCGTTCAGACATTTGCCAATAAGATGACTGAATTGGAAAATTGTTTTAAAAAAAGAAAGAAAAAGAGAAGTAAAGAAGGAAACCCTACCAAGGAGTGGTTCAAGAAGACATTTAAGACACAAAACTTTTTGAAAAAGAGACAGAGGACCACAGGAAGTGATGTTCTGGAGATACAGGAGTATCATTCAACACTTAAAGTGATTGGGTAGGTATTTTCATAATACATTTCTGGTGTTTATACTAAGGAGCTCTTTAAGTATTAAATATCATTTTAGCAAGTAAGTCCCAAACATCAGGTAAGCATGAAATTTCTGTGCAAAGGTACAAGTGTATTTGGCGGTATCTACAAAAAGTGGTTATTGTTCTTTCTTTAAGGTAAAGTCTCAACTGTATATTACTTCGTGAGAAAGAAATTCTACCTGCTGGCCTGACTAATTTGGCATTAAGGTAAGGTTGTATGCCTGATGATTTCTGTTTACAGCTGATGATGCGCAATAAATCTTGCTGATTAATAACATTTGAGCCCAAAATGATGATGCTCAAACTGTTTTATCACCAAAGCAAGGTTTACCTTTACTTCTGTGCCTTTTAAGCAAGAGATGGAATTATTTCTGTGGTAATTAGGTGGAAGATGCTTAAAATCACATGGTGTATTATCCAACTGTTGGAACCTTGCATGAGAAAGATGAACTAATTATGGGATGAATCCTAACATCAAAGCTCAAATATTCCTTCCCTGTTAGATGACAGGCTCCTGGCAGGTCAGTGTGTTTCTAACGAATTGTGTTGTACTGTTTTGCAGTTTCAAAAGCAGAATCCTCTCATTCTTTTGTTATTTATAACCCACTGTCTTGGGTAATCAGTCCTCAATTAACTGACTTATCACAGTAAGGGGTACTCTGATGAGATGTTTTTAAGTTGAGCGAGAGTTCTGAAATGCCGTAACTTTGCCTCCAGCAAACAGCTGAGATGCTTGGGTGCTTAGAATATCTCTATTTCAGTGTGAATCCATTTCACTAAGTGTTTACAAGGGTATTCTGAAGAGAAGTTTTTAAGTTGAATGCAAGTTTTGAACTGCCAAAGGTTCACTACCCATAAACAACCAGGATGCATGGGCGCTTAGAATACCTGTATTTAGGAGTGAATCTATTTCACCTGGTGTTTAAAAGGGTACTCTGAAAAGAAGTTTTTAAGTTGAATGTGAGTTTTGAAATGCCAAAGGTTCACTACCTGTACACAAGCGAGATGCTTGGGTGCTTAGAATACCTGTGTAGATGTGAATTAGTTTCATTATGGCAGGAATGACGGATTGCTTTATCCAGCAGACTAAGATGATAGTTTGGCACCTGGCTTCAGTAACAGATCTCGAAATAATATGACAAATGCAAAAATTATGGAACGTGTAATATAAATTTAATGTTTCCAGGAGTAAAAGAAGGAAGTAGTATAGTATTTGAGGGTAGGAGCACAGTTTGACATAAACTGCGTGCCAACCACCCAACTACTATTCTACTGGGAGATGTTCAATGAAATCATGTCATGCCAACGGGAAATGCACTCAAAAAGTGGTTGTAGTATACTGAATAATTTCCTGGAAAATATGTCAATAAAATTCTAAGAATTTCTCATAGCATACTTTCTGTCTGAAGTTTCCATGTCATGTCATCACAAAATGGTTATATATTGAAGAAAGATGTTCGATGTTTCCATGTCATATCATCGCAAAGTGCGCTCATTATATAGTTATGGTATATTGAAAGAGAAAGAATTCAGAGAAATAAATACAGTTTTGATTCAAAGAAATTGCGCTCATATTGTTGGTTATAATATACTGAGTTCATAGTATAAAATATTTATTTAGTATGCTAGAATACATGGATTCAGAAGAACCATATTCAGACAGTGATTATAGTGATTATTCAGGTGATAGTTATGAAAGTAGTTTTATAGATGATAGTGAACTAGACCATGATGCCTTTTATTTTAATGACCAAGATAATAAGACATTTCAATACTGATAATATGGAAGAAGCAGAACAAGAACTTCAAGAAATAATAGAAGAATTAAAAAGCTGCATATAAAAAAATATCTCACATAATAATGTAGAATGAATTGTGATTTTAAGAATTCGTGACAAATTCAGAAATTTGGTAAATATAGTTTGTTCTTTTTGCAATAAGCAATTGCAAGAACAAGGTGAAAAATGAACCATGTTGTGTGATGATAGAAGAAGAAAATGTTGATGGTGCATATGCTTGTAAGAAGTGTGGTAAGGTTAATAAGGAAGAAGTAGCAATGAATGAGTTGCCAGTAATTGGATCCTTGCATTTGCCAACAGATTTCTGGGATCGCCATGGGGCAAACATTAATTGTAATTCACTAGAAAGGAACGTTTGGCAAAAGGTTGTTTGGATGTCCAAAAAAGCAATTTTGGAGAGAGCTTATGGCTTTTTTGCCACAGTTTTATCATAAATGGATAGATATGTTGATAATGTTGATACAAGGCAAACGCAAGTTTTTGTTGGAATTACCACAAAATATGTTATAAAAAATACTGAAAAACTTCTCTTCTTATGTAATGTCTATTGTGAAATTGTCATTGCTTAATGATCTCAAAATATTACAAGATTAGCCATATATCGTTAGGAAATAACTAATTTAAGTCATTTTCAGTTTTATTTATATACAAACAGCCTGTTTTCCTATTTGTTAACATATTTATTAAACAAATTACGATGTTTGAAAATATACCTCCCCAAAGGATCCGAGCTAATGCCCTCTGCAAGAATGAAATAAGCAATGAAAAATATGAGGAAATCTTTTATTATACTATATTTGTATTCATAGTTTGTAATTTTGTTGTAGGAGGGCCACAAGTTTATTAGCCTTTGGCTATTAAGTGTTAACCCTCTTTAAATAAAGTCTTTATTATTATTATTATTAAGAAATCCTGAAGTCAAGTGATACAGCTTGTTTAAGAAAAATTCAGAGGTGTTTGAGGTGCCACCTTTCTTCTTGAACTCCTTGAAGGATCTTGTCTGGAAAAGGAAGATCACAGGACCTCTCCTGACAGAACTGTGGACATATCATCAGTTGTGCATCGCTCCTTGGGAGATCAATTTGTATCACTCATCATCACAGAAGAAAGGGTTCAGTTTTGAGCCGATTATCAAGGCTGATTCGTTCTCATTGATCACAAGAAAGTAGTGTAGGTATTTTATCACTTAAATGTACCACAATAATATTTAATGCTCAAGCATGCCACTTCAATTTCTTGCTGCCTTGAAGTGTCTTTTGTAGTACTACTTTGTATTACTAAGCCACGAAAAAGGTTATATATCAGCAAGATATCCAAGAAGAAACAAATTTTTTTACCTTGTCTTTCTGTAAGAAAGAAGTAAAATCTCACCTGCAACAGCTGAAGGTGCCTCAGACATCTGTGCGGTCAGAAAAGGAACTTATTTCAGCCAGAATAGGACAATCAGGATTAACATATAGAATCTTACCTTTTTGTCTTCAAATCAACAAAGAAGGAAACTGTATTCCTGAAGGTCTCATTTGGTTTGTGAACTAATCGTGCAAAAATTATTTCCCATGTCAAAGCGGTAGTATTGTTTGTTTTGCATGCTTCAGATGTTTATTGCTTTCACTGTGCATATTGACTGCCTCCATCTTCCTCAAAAATGGTCTTAGAGTGCCCTCCTTAACCCTTTAACTCCCAGAAGTGATTAACATAAAACTTCTCTCTACAATATCCATACATTCTTCAGCAAACAGGTGATGAGAATATTCAAACTTATCAGATAGAAGCTGCTATCTTGATGTAGCACCAAGTTCTCATAACTAATTTACAAGGAAATGTGTAGCAGCTGCTGGGGAGAATTAATAATGAGATCTTGGGAGTTAAAGGGTTAAGTCTTCTTTGCTGAAACATTAGTTTTGCTGAAACATTAGTTTTGATTGTTGGTGCGAACTGAGACAATTTGTTTGTAATCTAAAAGTGGAGTTGTTGCTTTGTAACAGGTTTAGTAAAGCGTTTGTAAACACAGCGAGTTACAATGTGTGTCATTGAGAGAATATGGAGGCTGATGCTGTTCTGTTAAGTATATCGTAGGAGGAATGCGTGGATTTGACACTAGAGGCAAGAAAAAGAAGCATAAATTATTCCTTTACTGGCCTGTTTACATACATACAGCAAGCCTGGGATTTTCCAGTCCAGAGGACAAAGTTGACCTTATCCCCATCTGAGCAGCAGTATTTACTCAAGCTGCAAACATCATGAAAAACTTGATTTGGGCTGGAGGCGGGGATCTACTGCAAGGTGTAGAGTGCCAGAGGCATTGTCTAATCATGACAGAAGAGGCAAAAAGTGGCCGAGCTGTGAACGAGGAATCTGGAAAATTGATTCACAATTAATTTTCAAATAGGCTCAGGTAGGTTTGCATTTTTCAAACTTGGTCTCACTCTACTGACTTATCTTTGTTTCCTAAAAAAAATTGACTTTAAACCTTTGACTTTAATTTTCCTTGGTATTTGATAATCAGGTAAAAAAAAACCTTCTGGCTTGTAGCAGAAGAAAAAGAGTTGACAGCCATAGTAAATTTGACTTCTTGTTCCACTGATGCCAGTGTATTAATGCAGATTGAAAAATTGAAACTGGTAAGCTTTGATCCACATTATGATGTTTAGAGTCAGCTTGCCTTCTGCCAATGTGCAGTCCTATGGAAGATGGCAAATAATATCGTTTATTTTACTTGTGTGAAGGAAAAATACCCAACAGAAATCCGTGAACTTGCCTGATCCTTCACACTCTTGCTGAGCACTAAATTAGTTTTAATGGATAAAACTATTTTGAGAGTGAAACTTACCTGTTTTATATGTTTTTTTAAGGAACTAGTACAGTTGTAGTTGAAGGAAATGCTAATGTGCGGCTGACAAAATCTGACTACAATTTTGCGAAGGCTGCCTCCAAACCCACCGTCATGAGCCTTCGTCTAGTTGACCACCTCTTTACAAAAGACACCCTTACAAAGTCAACTGTTCAGAGTACCAAGAAATTTGCTCCCCTTGACCAAGACAAACTTGATGCAATTAAAAGTGAGTAGATGAATATTTACTGTTAAAAACTGAGCAGATATGGAATTTGTTTTCTTAAAATCGTAATGTATAATTTGGGGCTGACTTTATTCTGTTTGAAGGAACTTTTTAATAACCCTTACCGGATTGCAGTTATTTATTTATGTTGGTGGTTAGGAAGCCAGGATGAATAGCCGGTTTATTTGTCAACATTGATTAATCGCTGTTCATTTGCATTCTTTTCAGCTGAAGTGCTGACTGCCTTTTCTTATCAATGCCGGGGAATGGAAGACGTTCTACGGATGTAGGAACAGTGCAAAATAAGTATTGGCAAAAGATGTCAGAATTTACGAAAAAATAGAGCAATGTGACTAAACTAATTGTTGTTTTCAGTCGTCACCAATTGGTATTCAGTGTTTTGTTGTGAAGAATAAATATTTCGGAACAAACATGGTGTTGAGATATCTGGAAAGCATGCTGCAATCAGCAATATGGGTGATGTCTATTTGCGCAGGGATCGAAAACGAATAAACAAGGAACATTCTTCCCAATAGAAAACGTTTGAAAACACACTAAAGACGTTGTCTGCTCCGTCTGGATAAAAAGCGTTGTACTTAGGTTAATGTTCAAAACTATTGCAATCATTTGAGAGTTTATTTCCATGAAATACATGTCTCTTGGTCGGAATTGCTATTCATCACGATTTACTTTTATTGTTGTAAATTGATCGAACTCTGAATTGGATATGATGGTTTAGGGCTCTTTAAACGTCAGGAAACTGAAGTTGATGTGAAAAATATCTGGATTTGTCTGGGCGACAATTTCAGCTGAGTACATGTATCTTAGTCGGAATTACTGTAAGACGCTTGGGACAATTTTTCCGATTTACTTTCGTTGTCAAACACAAATCGAGCCCAGAATCGGACATGATGCTTTTCGATATTTTGACTTTTTGTCTACTGTGTTTAGTCTCAAATATGAAGTATCTCCGTCCTAGTGACTGAAAAAGACTGGAAATACGTTTATATGTATATTTCGTATTGCTTACATGAGAAGTAAACGAACTTGATTACTCGTGAAAGTCTATTATCAGTTCGAAGCGAAATTTCGAACACTAATGATTGAAGAGACACTTTCCGTCGCGAAGTTTCGCTTTGTGGCGAAAATTCAACAAAAAAGCGCCCTTTGTTCAAACGAAATGTCGCTTAAGAGGCCTCGAACTTTCGATCGAATTTTCGCTCGAACTTTCGACGAAAGATCGTTAGAACAAATAACGAAATTCTCCGAATTCCGTTTGAATTACTTTTGCACAATACTGTAAGTATCAGGCAACAAACACCATGCAGGTTCTCCCCATTCAATTTGTTTATTTCAATAAAGTTAGAGGAGACTGGTGACTAATCACACCATACTTTTTGGTCTCAAAATAAGTAGAACATTTGGCTGGTTCCTGCGGATTTTTGCTGGGGCCAGTTACAAGAAACTAGTGCTGCGAATAAAGCTCTGCCATTGGCTTCTGTGATGCAAACGACAGTTTTATGTTCATATGGGATTTTGACATGTTTTAATCTATACTCTTTCGAAATATCACTCAAAAGGAAAGATAACCATGAGGAGACTGGAACGAATGATTAGTTTCTGTAGTTGACCTCTGTTCAATAAATTGTCATAGATTTAAATCTATTTGTAATCCCCCCCCCCTTTTCCCTTGCTGTATTTTTCTCCTTCACTTAAATTTCCCCTTTTTTCTCTTTTTCATTTTTTGTGGTTTAGAGAGAGAAGGATGAGTTCGAAGATGAAGAGGAAGATGAAACCTCTTTTACCACAATATCAAGCCCTATATAAAAAAGTAATCTCTATGAACCATCTTTCACCAAAGAAAAAACTGTAATGTCGAGGGAAAAGTTGAACAAATTCCTGATTTCAAGAGATATAAGCCCAATTCACCATTCCCTGGAAACACCATGGGCGGAAGCTTCCGAGTAGACAAAAAGGCCTTATACTAGAAAGGTACAACAGGTTGTGAATGCATGCTTGGATGAGATTGTTCCTGAGGAAACTGAAACTTTATTGTCCTCACAGGTTAAATCAGAGTTTGAAGAAAGTGCTATTGACTCCTCTCTAGTGGAGTGTTTGGCTGAACATTATAACAACACAGACCATTGGAGGTCTTGAAGGCAGATTTTGTCCATCATGGCTGATAAGGTGAATATCAAAGATTTGCACAGATGGATACCTAATTTCTTCAGGTATCATTTTAACATAGCTGGACATCATTTATTACTCCACAGTAGAGGTGCAAATGTACAATCTGTGAAAGGCACAAGAATGTACTTTGCACCAGAGTTCTGCTCTCAATTCTGGAAATAAAAATTGGTTGCACAACTGTTAAGCAGTTTTCTTGCATGCATCACTGTAAATACGTACATGTTTGGCAAATCCAACTTGCTGAGAACATCCAGCTCTGTCCACAAGGAAAATGTGGATTATACTATGAAAACGTGGAAGTCTTAATATGCTATTAAAGAAGGTCGAATGAGCCTTTAATTTCATGATCAAAAGATTTGATTCTTTCCCGAAATTGTCATGGATTTAAGAGTGTGTTATTTTTTTATGCGAAGTGTTCTTTTTCGCCCTTAATTGTAAACACAAAATGTGGCAAATTCTCAGGATTTAGTTATTAACGATTTTCTCAAAAATTAATATTTAGCTAAACGAACTATGCAACGTTTTCTTTCAGTCAGAGATCAGTTGTTGTTGTCGTTTTTTTCTAAATTAAGGTATAGTTAAGAATATGAAGAACAACTGTCACATAACTTACCCAAGATCAGATGGAGGCTTCTAGCCCCAACTTTCCCATGGAAATGATTTTATGGTACATTGAGCATAATCATAATAGGTATGTAACATGTTGAACTTGTGAAAGTTATATTCGGCAAAACTCACCACCAACTGCTAACATCTGTTACTCAATTCTGTATGAATTTTTAATATATGATTTACACATACATTTATAAATATATATTTTTTCCAATTTACTGTAAGAGTGACAAAATTTCAATGATGAGTGACTTCTCAGCTCACAAATCTGTCATGTTTAGACATTACTTCCACGACAATGACCATCCATAATCCCATTCTCAAAATGAAATTAACTGAATAAACATCAGGTTTTTGGCAAAAATTGCATGAATTAACATCAACAATCATGTACTTCAGAGGGCTGTGACCACCCATCTTTTACAGAGCCCCAAAATTTTTTTGCCCACAAACACAGTGCTATGATAGGTAATTTCTGTGATCATGTTTGTTGATACACAATGTTGCGCATTAGAGATAATTAATAAAAATAAAAAATCCCTATTTTTCTCTTTTTGAATAGTTGTGTGACCCAGTTAAAGGTTAACTGTTCTAAATCAGCAAAACAATATCAAATTACCCCAATTTAGGAATTAATTTCCTTAAGGTTCAAACAACTATTGGACAAAATTAGATCAAAATCAGTCGGCTTCTATTGGCACGAGAGATATTTATGGGAAGTGCATTTTTCAAGCTTATTTCAGCCTTTTACTCCAGGGATTTGATGTGGGGGTTCTAATACCCTTGGAATAAGCCAGGAGCTCGAACTACTCAGGATTCTTGAATAACTAAATGACCCTAGTCACACCTGCCTGGTCCTCTCGTGGAAAAACTCTTGATTCTGGCCCTTGGAAAGAAGGCCTGTCTCAGATATTTAGATATTTCCCTCCAAAAGGTCTGTTAATGAGCTTGTTCTAAGGAGTCTTATGGCTTCTTCTTTGATTAAATCTTTCTTTAACCCCCATAAGGTGGCATCTGTATTGAAATTTTTTTGTTCACTTGAAACTTGTGTGAGCAGTTCTAGAATCAATTTCTTTTTCAAATCTGTTGCCATATACAAGTGCCTAAAAAGGCTATTTCTAAGCTCAAGCTCGCAAGTGCAAAATCGAACAATTACAAAGACATTCTCCCTTTTCTAATCGCTCAGCCATTGGATAGGTTGTGATTAGGCATTGTTAGATTTTGATGGACATCAAACATTTCTGAGAAGGACATTGGGGTTTACAGTGTTGACCCTTTTTGTAATGCCATATTGCAGTAAAGAACAACTTGCATTGCGGTGTTGCAGTGATCTCAAACCTTACAATGCACAATGTCTGTAATTTCAAACTGATGGTGTTCTGTAAAATACATCATTACTGGCATTCCAGTTAATTCCATAACCCTTTTAAAAACTAGACTTCAATAACCCATGGTTAATTGTCAATCAAAATAGCAAATACATCCAAGATAATCTTTACTAAACATTAGCTGATTGACCCGTGGCCATGTTTATTTATATGTTAATTGACCTCTGGACCTCTACCACATGCACTTTTGGCCAGTCAAAGACCAGCACATGGTAAAGGTTAGCACAACCAGTCCAGGTAAATCTTCAGTCTATCTTTATAATGTGGTACCAATTGTATTTCTTGTTCTATTTCGTATGTGGTGTTGCAATATTTAGAACTCCCCATGTGCCCCTCATTTCTGTCTGAGGAACACTTTTTGATGGGTTGACAAGTATGCATCAAGAGAGGATGATAGTGGCATGCAGTAGTTTTTTCAATGTGTTTGACATCCAAGACGATCCCACAGGTTTAGAAGCAAGCAATTAATAAATTCCATGTGTGAAAGAATCATTATCGAATTTGCTATTACATTTCCTATTAAAACTCACACTTTTGCTTTGAATTTGACAAATGAAAGTCTAGGTATGTAGCAATCACTGTTGTAAATATGTGTGAACTATAAAGCACAATAGTGGCATACGTGTGAACAGTGAAATAAGCACCACTCCCTAGTTCACCAATTGTTGTGTTTAAGTCTTCAGTAAAGCAAAAAAATACAAAATGTTGCATCATCTTTTAGAATAATTTAAAAGCAATTAAAAAAATGAGGACTCGTTGTATTGAAATTATTAGAACCATGCAGAAATTGACCTTTGAAAAGGAAAGTAAATTGAATAAAAGTTTGTCATTTCTTTGATGGAGCTCTCGACTGGTTATTAGCACCTGACTGATTTCTTTCTGGCCATCACATGTTTCACTTAAATTGAAGTTGCCATAATAACCCAGGTGCCAAATATACATGTCCTCCTTGTTGTTTGTCAAATGAAGTTTAAAAAAACAACCCCCTCAATTAACCGGAGTCAGCATTTTTTTTTTGAAAGTAAATAATTGCTGCGGTTACTTGCTAAGGAAATCTATTGGTCTGTTAAATATGATGCAACTATTAATATTTACTGATATGACTATTAAAGATTTTCATCAAATATTATATTATTGTGATTATTATTACTTTTATTATTATAAAAAATGGTGTAATAATGAATGTAGTAGATGTAATAATAAGTGTATATCACCTAGAGCGCCATTAATTGGATGTTTGCTTCTGTTGGTGGTGTCCTTTGAGAAAGTGTGAGTGACTCCCAGTTGTGCCAGTTTCTGATGCAGGCAACTGAAGATTACATGATGAGCTTTGGACAACAAAAGAATTTGGCCCCCCACCATCTACTCCAGATGTTAACTCCTGTCAGTTATACTTATGGCTTTATTGACTTTTGCTAGATGAAATCAATTGATGTGTTTAATATACAAACTCACAGCAGCACAATTCGCACTTTTCATGAAATAAAAACCCATGGCAGATCTTGAAATGGGATACTTCACAAAATCTTTGGACTTTGCAAGGGAGCAATGTGTCTTCCCACCTCCAGAAATAATAAAAAAGAATTAAAACTTATTCTCTACTGTGTTTTTCTTGTCAGTATTAAACAAAGTTTGTCTCCCGCTAGAACTTTGCAGCCGCTAGAAAATCAAAAGCAACTGGCTCTTACCCAATTTTAGAGAAAACCGTGGCCGAAACAAATTAAAACACGGTCTCACAGGTTCACAGGTCTATCTATTGAAATCTACCCTCTAAACACTCCAGTATGTGCCCTTTAAAGTTTCATTATTAGGGGGATATTACTTGTAAGTAGCTGGAGGTTTTTATATGGATGCAAACCAAATGCTGAAACAGTGTAAAAATTGAGCTTGCTGCCATTTTTGGTACTTCAAAAAAAAACAATTATAGACAAGTATTTCATATTTTGGAAGGTTTTCCATGAAGTTTATGCATGTGAGTTTTGAAGCAGTATCAAGGATTACACCTCAAGATTGATATTTTTCAGCTGCCATGCCAGCTGCTGTCTCTTTTGCTGCGGTAGAATGCTCCACATACAATCTACCTAACCATTCAGTCGAAAATGTGAAAAGATTCAAAGATTATCAGACATTCACACTTATCACACAACCATGTCTATTATGCAAGTACTTGTTCCCAGACTCTTAAAACACATATTTGTGTGGCGTGCCATTGAGCTCAACAAGCAGGAATATACAAGACAAGAAATTTGGATTTATAATTACCCAGTAATAGTTAATATAAAAAATGAGGCAAATTTGAATTTCAGTTGAACTAAGTATCTGCTTTGGTGCTGAAACGCAATGGAGGGAAAATCGCCTGCTCATCAGCAGTCTCTCTCGTGGCCAGTTATTCAAGTGTTTGCACCCTGCCTCGATCATCAAAGGAACTGGTATTCAGTCACATAGGAAATGTGGAATTATTCATGCCTCTTTTTTCAGAATATCTTTTTCAGTCATTTTCCAGACAAAATCTGCTCTATATTAAAGCGGGAATAAAGTGTAATGTTCAGCAATGGCGGGAAGAGGCTGTTCAGTGAGTTGGTCCCAGAGAAAGGGCAGCAGAGACCTTTCAAAGAAAACCAAGTAAAGAGTATGTTGTCTGTTCCTTTGGACTTTTTGTTGGCCTTATGTGGCAGCAAGAAAAAAGACTTGTTGTATCTGAACTTTTTTGCCAGGATAAAGAGCTACATGAATGGTGTTTGTGTTTTCTCTTGAATTGGCACCAAAAGCAATGAAGGGCAAACCACAGGCTTCCTAAACTGTCCTCACTCCGTGGTGAAATAGAGGTTCTATTTGGTCACTTTGTGGTCACTGATCCATTCACCCTTATGCAACGTCTAAGTGAAAGTTTGCTCAACAATGCTATATCACTTATGGTTAAAGAAAGAGGAAAGCAGAAGAGGGCCCCAACTGGAGTAACAATGTTTGGCTTTGGAAACTTTGACCTCTACGGTGTTGGAATTCTTAGAAAGTTTTGTTCAGTTGCAACAACAAAGCATAAACTTATCTCAGAACAGCAGTGCTGCTTTTGCAGCAATTAGCAAAACTAAAGATTGCACAGACTGAGAAAAGGAAGCAATTACAGAGGCATTGTGGCATCTGAATCACATCAGGCAATGTTAAAATTTCAGAGAAAGTCAATCAACTCTCTGAACTTTGCTGAACTTGTAGAAGAGAGATACCTTGATAACTTTGTTATTGACATATAAATTGGAAATTATCTGAAAGAAGCAAGGAGGGAAGTAACACAACAGTGTACTTACCTTTTTCACCTGGATGACGGGAGACCTAAAAAGCCTCAAATCAAGTAAGTTATCTCGGCTGGTACAACAAACCAACTCGACAGAAATGTCCCAAATCTTGGCTCCAGTCCATTTTCCCACATGCAATCAATGGGGTATGATTTATGTTGATCTCTTGACCAGGAGCATTTTTCCGATGATGGGATGAAATTTAAAACTCCTTCAAATACACTTTCTCTGATGAAGGCAGGCCTTGATCTATTGCAGGTACTTTTCCCTTCAAGTGAAGCACTCAAAATGAATTTCTGGACTTCCACTCAGAACCTCACTTGGTTTGGAATGCCATCAGGAGTGTCCACGAATGCATTCAGTTGGAATTGGCAGTTGGTGAGTAGGGGTGATTCTGGCAGCGATGGATTTCATATCTTTAGGGCCAGGTGCTGTTCACAACTTGCCAAGGAAGTTCTCTGACATGCAGCTGCATAAAATACAACCAATGTGTCATATATTGTCTTGGAGTGAGGCATTATGATTTCCTTTACGTCAACTTCCAACAACCGCGACGCTTGTGTGCTTAGAATACCCCTATTTAGAAGTGAATGTTTAGAGGGGTACTCTGATGAGACGTTTTTAAGTTAAGTGAAAGTTCTGAAATGTGGCAACTTTGCTACTCCTAAACAACAGAGATGCTTACAAAGGTTTACAAGGGTACACTGAAAAGAAGTTTTTAAGTTGAACGCGAATTTTGAAAAGTTAAAGGTTTACTACTTGTAAACAACCAAGATGCTTGGGTGCTTAGAATATTCGTATTTTGACATAAATTCATTTCATTGAGGCAATAATGTTGGATTGTTTTATGCAGCAGACTAAGTTGATAGGTTGGCTTTAATAACAGATCTTGAAATAATATAACAAATGTAAAAATTACAGAACACATAACAGGAATTAAATGTTTTCAGTGGCTCATTGATTGAAGTTCAAATGTGGCTGAGGTGAAATATAACCCACTAGTTGTTGATTTTGGGCAAAGCGTTAGATCCAGTTCAGCAGTTCTGAGTGTTTCAAAGCAAGCCTGTCTGTCCACGAATGATGACTCCTATATAGCTCCAGAAGTAAAATGTATAGGTGCATCACTGAGTTTTAGCAGCAATGTTTACTCACCTGCCAAAATGTTCCATTTTCTATCTCAATGCTGCCCAGATTTTGAGGTACCAAAACTGATTAGTAAATGTCTATCAAACAATCCAATGGAAAGACCTGCATTGCATTAAATTAAACAGTGCTTTGTGTAATTCCTAAAAATCTACCATCCAGAGTTTTACTCTATAGACACATCCAAAAATTGCTCTATGGTTATGCTTTCTCGTTTGTTTTTTAATGTTGGTTTTGACCATGGACTATACTTCGTCAATATATTATTTTTGATTAAAATAAAAGTGTTTTTTCAATGGTAAACAACCATTCAAAACATTGAACTTCTATGATTAGGTCTGTGTTCTCACTAGCACGATTTCACTAACAAATGGTTACAGACATCGAATGAAGTCAGCAAAATATGATAAAGCCTTTTTATCAGGCAAGTATACCAGCTTGTTTAAAATTGTTGTTTCAGTCGATGCTTGTAACATTCCCTTTTGTATTTAGTTGAACAGCCAAGGGACGTTAATCACAGAGGAGAGGAGGTACAGTTGGATGGTGCCTCACCTTGTTGGGCTTCCAACTTTTACCAGGGAACTACCCCTTCATGAATACCTCAAGTCAACACCACCCAAAATTGAACTCCCTTTAAAAACTTTCAGCTGGTTAATATTTCTGAGAGCTGCAAAAAAGTTCATGAAGAATTACTTCTATCAGTTTCTCTGTCTGCTTTCTGGCACAGTGTCAGTGTTCCACTACAAAAAAGTTCTCTCAATAATTGGTAAGTAACAAAATAAATTATGTGCTTCTAAGATCACATACTCTGTGAGCAGGCTACTTTTCAGTGTTTTGTTTTATACGACCATGCAGATTAATGAAGGTGTCTGAATGGTTCACTATCCTTTCTTCACCCACTGTTTGAGCCCAAACTGCTGTCAAATATCAACAGATGAGTCACCACTTCTGCAAGGGATTGAGAAGAACAGGATACAGCCAAGGGATTTAGGCATCTTACGGGGCAAATGCACTCTGGTTTACATACAACAGCAGGTCAAGCTGATGCTATTGCCAAACAGTGCTAGAACCAGGTGCAAAACAACTAAGAACTATTTTCTCTGTCTTACTTGTTGTTTAATTGTATTCAGCTTCTTTTTCATGGAATAGAAAATCATCACTTAAAGATGTTCCTTTTGGTTAGGCCTTAACACTTTAATACTTGCATTTTTCTCTCTGGTTCTTGCTTGCCACCTATGGCTATTGGAGAACCAGTCAGAGGCAAGCCCTCTTCCCACAGGCTGATTCATGCTCTGATTGGTGGTACCTTCCTGTCACAATCATCAAGCAAATCAGTTGCCAGTGAACTGGTGAAAAGCACACTTCCCTTCTACGGGGATGATTCCTCCCATTCCAATACCCTTGAAAATATTTCATTGTCTACGTTTTCATGTGGGGGGAAGTAGACAAAGACAGGCAGCAATGAAGTCCCCAGAACCACCTTTCTGCTGACAGTCAACTTTAAATTGGATGATGATTTATGGTTAGTTGTGTGAGAATATTAAGTCTTTTGATACACCCATGTAGCTACGTGATTGCACAATTAAATTTTTATGAAGACTATTAACACTTTTTTAGGGCATTTGAGAGGACAACTCCACTTTTTTTCTGTAAAATTGTTAGCAGAGAACATGGAGAAGGAATCAACGAGAACCTCTTCCCTTCACACAACACCACATTCCAACAGGCAAAGACAACCACGTTCCCTCCATTACTCGGATGGGACAGTTTATGGAGTTTGGCCTAGGCGATCATATCAAGTTCTTCCAAGAAAGGCTGCCCTTAAAGTAAGTAAGGATGAATTAGTTAAAATCCTAATTGACATGGAGACAACCTTTTAGTATCAAAGAGGGACGTTCTTTTTGCAATTGTAAAGGTTGTGGGGAAAACCAGAGACTCATCATTTGGCATTTTTTCAAAGAGAATTCATGAAGTGCAATGACTGACATCAATGCATGCATGATAGATTTCTAACATGATAGAAAATGTAGGCGCATGATTTGAACTGGGCACTGTATACCTGCAGCCGTAAAATGGCCATTAACAACAGAAGAAATGAGAATTCAAAGAACTGACTTCCACAAAGTGTATATCAGAAGGTTCTATTTCTCAACTTTTTACAGATAAAGGAGACTCACCATATGCGGAGGAAAAGTCAGAGCAAATCAAAATGGTCTTCACATCTACTATGGTCTAATCCTTCCCCTTTAAAATAACCAACTTGCATTGTTCTTTAATGACATGCTGTTAAATTTAGTGATTGTTGTCCCGTTTGGAGTTTTGATAAGAAAATTTTGAAAGAATTGTTATGATTATCTATTAGAAAACTAACTGTAGCTTAACTAAATCTCAGTCCCCTCAGCCTAAAAATTACTCATTAAGTTATTCCAAGTGATTCTTAGACTGAACAAGACAGTGAAGGTGACTGAACAAGATTTTCATATACTAAACTTATTTAATCTTAGACATAGGTTATACAACTTGTTGCAGACATAACCCTGGCAAACAAGGAAGGCTTTGACGTCCACTTAGCCAAAAAACTCATACCCTGTGGAATTGGCAAATAAGAGTTTAGTGTATGTCTTGAGAAATATGCAAAGTAGCTTTTGATTATCAGCATCTCCACTGCAGTCACTTCAGTGGAAGAAGGTAAAATGTAAATTACTTTTAGGCCTCAAGAATAATGTCTGGCAAAGATGAAAGGCCTCCATTCTCATTATCCAAACAAAATCATCAGTTTATCTAAGAGCAACTCGCTGTGTGTTGGTAGAACTAACAAACATGTCAGCCCACAGAAACAACTTTTAACTGTTTCATTCAATGTAATAGTTGGATTGTTAAAATACAAATACGATTTCCAGTGGTATATGGTATTTTCTTCTCGCTAGATTTCCATGTGGCAGAGAACATGCATCCCTCAGGAGATGTCACCTCGTGGTCCAGCCCTACATCTCCATCAGCAAATAATCACAACATTGCTGCAAAAGGCTGGAACCCCTTACAGTAGCCAGGACCTATGTAACATCATGGATAGTGTTGACAATGGAATGCAAATTTCTGTACAAAGTTTGCTGGAAGAAAGAATTGGGTACCTTTCCTCAAAATACCTCTGCAAAATATTTTTCAAGACCTCCTGAGTAACTGATTATAATTTCTTTATGGAATTCAGTCTATCTTCCATAAATCTCTGTAACTTTGTTTTGAAATTTTGTAGGGTTTATGCAAGGGTGCATTGAGGTTACAGAGGAAAAAAGTGAGACCTCATTACTTCCAGCTTGCACTAGTTGTGCAACAGTGCAGGATAATCTAAAACAACAAAGAGAGTCGTTTAAATGTGCAAAGAAGAAATATCTCGCCAGGATTGCATGACTAAAAAAGGAATTGAAATTGGAGAGGAACTCTAATGAAACCCTGAAGGAGCAACCGTGCTGTGAAGAGAAGCCTTTCGGTGTCAAGGGCTGTCACGTCTTATCACTGATCAACGTAAGACTAACTTCTTGGGAATATTTTAAATAATATAATGTAGATATTCATACCAAGATATAGATTGTGATTTGGTGAAATGGATGCCATATATTCTCAGTCATCATTGATAAACTCGCTGATGAAGCAAGCAAGAATATTATTATGATGGGCGGTTTTAATGCTGATTTTATTGCATCAAAACCCTGTAAATATACACGCAACCAAAGGCATGCAACCAGACTTCACGGCTTGAGTCAACTAGTCCAGGTGCTTAAACACGTAACAGAGCACACAAAGACAGCTATTGATATCATTTTTGTTAACAATTTGCACCGTATTGTGTAATTTAGGGTACAAGAATTTGGAGCCAGAGACCGTTCTGTTGTTTTTGCTGTCAAAAAAGCTGGTGTTTGCAAGGCCCATGTGGAAATTTGCGAAATGAGGTCATTCAAGTGCTACAACAAAGAACAATTCCACAGAGAGGCGTAACTAGTATTCACTTAAGTGATGTTCAATCTGTTGTTGATCTACATGATGCCATTTCTGCTTGAAACACTCTTTGTTAATGTTGCTAATCGTCACGTAATTATTAAGAATCTGGGAATGAAGCTTGCAATAAAGCCATGGATTACAAAGGAATATAAAGAAATAATGGCTGAGAGGGATTAAGCATTTAAAGTTGCTAAAAGATCAGGAAGCGAAGAAGAAAAGTGAGACAATTATTGCAATTATTACAGGCTAAAAATTTAACTACTGTAATTTCCGGTCGTTTACCCGTGGGTAATCTGTTGATTTTGCATTAAAAGCACGCCAGTGCGGGTAATAGGGAGGTGCGGCTTATGTGACAATTTTAAAATCTAGTGGTAGTTGAATTGAAAAAAATTATCACCAACATGCGTTTCCACCTCTCAAATGAATTTTATTGTATTAAGAGTGCCGCAAAGCAGCATGAAAACATGATGCTGACTCGAGTTTATTTCACACATAATTAGTTGTGTGACGAACAAATTGCTATCGGCACGCGTGAAAACAAAACCCTGATGGTGACAAAAATAACCCAAAGATATCCGCCGCATCAATAACAAATTTCCATTTAACACAAGCTTGAGCTAAAGAGAGTTTTCCCGTTTTAAGGGACTTAATTGTCAGGCCCAATAGAACCGGAGATATCGATTCTTTTCAGAAATTGCTGACAGCACTTTATAATTCAAGTTTTAATACTCACCCAGCTTTTTTCAACAAATCAACATGACACTGAACGATTGCTGGCACAAAATGTGGCCACAAATTCGCATTCTGTCAAGTATAAAACGTTGAGATTTGGACATGGGCCGCTAGTGTTTTTACTGTATAATATATGGGCCTATTTTTGTGTGCCAGTACATAGTAAAGTTTTGGAAAGTGTGGTACACACACAAATGAGCGCTTATTTAGATCAATTAGGCTTGTTATACAACCATTGGTATGGATTTGGGCGTGGTTGTAATATGGTACATGCAGTGGGCCAATTGAATAATTTTGTGCTTGATGCCATGGACAGAGGAAAAGTCACTGGTCTACTATTTCACAATATATCTAAGGCATTTGACAAAGATAAACCAGAGGATACTCCTGGGTAGGCTTGAACACATAGAACAATAAGGGAGAAGTCTGAGGTGGCTTCAATCATATTGCCCAAACAGACAGCAATGCTTGTAAATAAATGGTGAAGTATATCTTAAGTCCACTTCTATTCAACACATACATTAACAACTTGTCAACTGCTGTAACAAGAAGTGAATTCATATTTTATGTAGACAACACTGTTCTTATGGTTGCTGCATCGACACCCCAAGAACTTGATGATGCCCTTCGATATGATTTTAACCTAATCTCTAACAGGTATATTGACAACAAGTTAACACTTAATGTAAAGAAGACTAAATTGATGCTGTAAGGAAGCGAAACAATGTCGCAATTTGATAACTTCCCTTTTTGTCCTGATTTAGGGCAAGTAAATCATGATCAATCTATTAAGTAACTAAAGGTAGTGCTGAATGCGAAATGGAAATGAAAGATACATATCGATAGCATCTTACAAAAATTAGGGCATCGAGTGTCATTCAGAAATGGGTGTGACCTGGATTTTGCACATAGAAGGCTTGATTTATTCCTTTAGGTATTCAATTCAGGGGCCATATAGAACCTTCAAAGGCATAATGACTAAGTTCGGATTCATTAATTCTGGAAAAGGTGAGATCATTGAAGGAAGGTTCAAAGGAATAAAACAATTAAGCAATTATGCGACCTCAAGCAGCAGCGTCTACCAGTGTATCCTTTTTGTTTTGATGTGTCAATGAACTCCAAAGAATGATTGAAACATTTTAAGCCTTCAAGTTTCTTTTGCTCAATGTTCTAAATTTTGATTTGCATTTATGAAAACAGAGCATTTTCAGAGCCATCTGATTACTTTCTCTTCGCAAAGGGTTGTGAAAGAAATCCCACATGTTTACTTCTTGTTATTGATGTTCTAATTCATGCATAGCCATCTTTTACCGGTACTTGTGAAGCATGAATTCCTAAGAATGACTGCAGAAATTTTATTTTTTTATTCTTCAAGTTTTTTTTCCATGAGTTTTCAATTTTGATTTGCATAAAATGAAAAAAGGGCAATTTGCAAGCTTTATAGAGAGACCTTGAACAAGTCGCTTGTGAAGCACATTTGCAAGTCATGCATTCATGAACATTCTGATAAGTGTGTGCTAGATCACAATCCAAATTTACAAAAGTCCAATTTAAGAAAATATATAGCTTCAAGTAGGGCAGCTCTTAACACACCCCAAACCTCTGCTGTTTACATTTAATAAGGCTATTTTATTGTTAGTTGTGTTTCATTGCTGTAAACTCAAACAGGAAATTTCGTCTACTTTTCTTCTTATCCAATAGATCCAACAGAGAAATCCACAAATGTCTTTTAATTACAATAAACAGATCTTTTCACATTACTGTTCTAAAAGCTGAAAGGCAGATGACCAAGTTCAATTCTTGTCATTTGACATTTGCGATGCTTTTTTGTTCCTTGCTCTGCGGTAAGTTTCAAGTTTTATCAAGTTTCAAGTTTATTAAGTTTGCAGGAAAATCTTTGTACAATAATCACCTCCTGCAAAAAGCGAGCTAATCTAGGCAGGCGGTGTTAAGGACATACAACACGAATTATGCGAATTACTCGATTTTGCATACATTATTTGACAAAAGAGGGAAAAGGTGATAAAAAGTAAATTAATATATTATGTTTGAATTATAATTAAGATGCCTTCTTAAATTCAGAAATAAGAGTGCTAGTGTCAGCATAACTATCCAGACTTCCTAGAGTTGCAAATAGTAATGCTTGAATTTTCTTTTTGAATATGTGCTTTGGCAGACTTCCATAGCTTTCGGGAATACTGTTCCAAATTTTAGCCCCAACGATAGAAAAAGAGTTTTTATGATGATTAAGCCTAGAATAGTTAATATAGTAGTTACCAGAAGATGCTGATCGGGTATTATACTGATGTATGTCTTGTGTAGAAATAAAAAGATTGCAGATATTTTTAGGTGCAGAGTTAGTGGTTATATCAAGCATTAAGATTGATGAAAGTTTGAAGTAGAGCATTGTTATTGGCAGGATGTTAGATTGCGCGAAATATGGAATCGCATGCGTTCTGAAAGGCAGAAAGTAGATCAAGCAAATAGCTCTCTTCTGGAGTATAAGAATTTTTTCTAAATAAGATTTGGAGGCTTGGCCCCAGGCAATGAGGCCGTAAGATATATAGGGAGAAATTAAAGAATTATAAATACTTAGAAGTGTTTTTATGGGGACAAAGTGTCTTAGTCTCGAAATAATTCCAATATTTCTGCTGATTTTTAAAGCAATATAACTAATGTGATGTTTCCAAGATAAATGTTGGTCAATTATTACCCCTAGGTATTTAACATGATCCTTACGTTCAAGATCAAAAAACGTTTTAGTGCGGCTATCATAGGCCTTAATGTGGATGTTAAAATTAATGCGTTTTTGATATGGATGAAAAATTATATAGTTTGTTTTCTTAATATTTAACGAGAGTTTATTAGCGATTAACCAGCCGACAACCTTAAATAGTTCACAGTTGATGATAGTTTCGAGAGATTTTAGGTTTTTATCAGCATATAAAAGGTTAGTGTCATCAGCAAAGAGATAAAAGGTTAGTTTGTCAGAGGCCATGTAGATGTCATTTACATAAATAAGAAACAGTAGGGGACCAAGTACACTCCCCTGAGGAACGCTGCAAAGGGTATTTTCCTTTCTAGATACGTGGGGACCAACTTGCGTGGTTTGGATTCTATTTGACAGATAGGAGGAGAACCAATCGTTTACTATACCACGAATGCTGTAGTGGGATAATTTATGAAGGAGGATAGAGTGATTGACAATATTAAATGCTTTTTGAAGGTCAATAAATACACCACAGGAGAACATTCCCTTGTCCATGTTTGATTGAATTTTGTTAACAATATCAAGGATTGCATGCTCGGTTGAGCGCTGTTCACGGAAACCGTACTGAAACTCATAGAATAGGTTATGTTTGCTGAGAAAGGACTTTAGGCGGTTGTACATAATTTTCTCGAAGAGTCTATTAAAGACCGAAAGAAGTGATATTGGATGATAGTTCCCCGGTTCAGCTTCATCCCCATCCTTAAATATTGGAATGATCTTGGCATGCTTACGTTTGGAGGGGAAAATATCCCTTTGAACCGAGTTGTTTATAAGAGTTGCCAGAGGGGCTGATATAATATGACATGAACATTTAAGTAATCGAGTTGGACACGAGTAAAGTCCATGGGACTTGTTTGTTGGCGTAAGCATTATTTCAAGCTCGATTTCAGAAGAAAGAACAGTGTCAAACACAAAAGAGCAGGAAGGAACATTTAATGGGAGGTAATCACGAAAAGACTTATCGCTACTTGGTAGATCAGAGGCGAGACGGTTTCCAATAGAAGCAAAATGGCGGTTGAGTATATTAGCATTTTCTAGGGGATCATGAGATATCCCCTGGTTTAAAGGGCGTTTCATTGCCGCAATCACCTTCGCGTTTTTCTTTTTACGGTTGATCAAATCATTAATCCCTTCCCAGGTCCGCTTGAGGTTTTTTGTATTGTTTTGGAAATAATTATGGAAGTAAATTTTTTTACTAAGACGAGTTAATGTTGAGATTTTATTTCTATTCATCTTAAAGAGTTTAATATTACCTCCGTCAAGAAGGTAAAGAAATTAAAAGCAAAATTTTCGGAATATAAGCTATTGTTTGTTTTTGGAATATAAACAAAAAGAAAATTGTCACACACTTATCCAAGAACATTCCAATTTCTATAGCAATCTTACATTTCCAAGCAAAATCCAACAAGAACCTAAACAATAGCACGAATATATAAATACTTAACAACCTACAAAATGTGGGTACACATTTAAATCAACTTGAAGTTGTCATGAAGAAAAGTCTCACTGCATATTTCAATGGCCTTGTCCTACCACACCTCAATTATGCAGATATTGTCAGGGGAGATCAGTCAGGTCTTATGACATAGATGAAACAGTTGCAATCTTTTCAAAATCGCTTTGCAAAAAGGATTTTGAAAGCAAAAGTGATGTCAGCTGAGGCCCTGACATTGTTCCAGTGGGACCCAACTGCATGCGAGGCATGTCAGTAATCAATATTGTCTTGAACAAGATGTATTGAAGGGTGAGATCCCTGAACATCTCGATGTGTTCAGTTCTACAATGAGCCAACAACATGGTTATGATTATACCCTAAACAGCTACATGTCCAAAGTGAGCAGGCCAAGAGGGGAATGGGGCAAAAACAAAACATATTAATGCAATCAACCATTGGACCTTACTTCTGAGTGAGGTCAAGAGACTGATGCCATAAACGATTTTTAAAACACAAACTGAAACTTTTTCTATGGAACAATTTAAACTCTAGATAGTATTTTAATCTTAGTTCTTAGTTTTAAACTTTAGTTTGTAGTCTCAGTCTATAGTTTTATGGTTTTTTTTTTAATTTCTATGAGGACCCCCTGAAAACCATGTCTGGGTGATTGGTGGCCTCTTTTTAAAATATCATTTGCTTTTTATATTTTCTTGCAAGTAGCAGATTTAAATCATTATCTTGAAGAAACTGGAATAAAAGAGAAAAACAAAAAGCATGCACAGAAAATTTCCATGCAAAACAGCAGGAGGAAAAACTAAAATTTGAAAAGCTGAAATGTGAACTGAAGTCAAAAATGCAATTATTAGATCAACCTACCACAAAGTCTCCCAGTAAGGGAAATGTGAAAATGCCAAAGCTTGTTATCATTGAGTATGATGGCACTTACGATAAATGGCTCTCCTTTTGGAATAATGCGTTGCCAGTGATATCTAGATGCCAACCAAATCTCTAGAGTCTCTAGGTAAATTTTCTAGTTTTTCATTTATGGTGTGTGGTGTTTTGGACAACTTGCTCGGCATAAGAGCAAATCACATGAATGGGAAACCAGGATGGCAAGATTGGGGACTTGCAGAGCTAATGCAATCATTAGAAGAATGGAAAGCCATCTATCCTATGAAAGTAAACGAGTCAGTTCACAGGATCTCTCCATCACTGCTTCCATTCCTGCATCCTCACCCTCCACATCTGCCACATCCTCCTCGTATTCCTCACAAAAGTAGTTTCTACACGCAAGATCATGGATCAATCTACACATGTTTACTGTAATTGTGTGACTCGTAGATCCTGAGACTGTGACAGCGTGACATCTCCAGCAGAACGCAGACAAATTCTACAAAGCAAACGCTTGTGTTTTATCTGCAGTGGAATGCAACATAGTGTATCTCAGTGCCGTGTCCACGCATCTTGCACATACAGTAAAAAAAAAGGCATTACTTGTCCATTTGCGATTGTTTGACAACAGCTGAATGCCAAACAACAAACAATGATGGAGTGGCCTTAACTGCAACCCAATAAGGAGAGAAAATGTATCATCCATTGTGCTTGTCAAAGTGAATGGCCTGACTTGTAGAGCTCTTTTGGATACCCTGGCAACTGCCTCTTATGCTTCAGGATACATCTCAGATTGATTAAATGTTGCACTGTCATACTCTCTCATATGCTGAATACAAACTGTTGTGGGCACTGTTACCAAGCACACAAAGACATACAACGTGCAAGTGAGTGACACAAAAGGAAATTATACCATCCCTCTCAGGGAAAATCGGGTAGACCATGCTGAACTGGTGTGCATGGAAAACCTGAACTACAGGGAAATCATTAGAAAATACCATCATCTGAAAGGCACAGATATAGAAGACACTGACACAAAAAGCCTACTACTGCTTCATGTTAATCTAGGCATGAGTGATTATGTGGAGATCAAGACACAGTCTCTTTAATAGTGGTCCAGTGCATTTTGGGTTGTAAAATTAATTTCTTTCAAATTTTACCCAGGAATCTACCTTAGTTTAGAAATAATTGAAACCACCTTGGTGTTTGCAAATATAAGAAAACAATTTTGTTCTGAGCGAAAATCACTTCAGTGCTCAGACCCTAGTTTTTAACACTGAATATCCGAAATGGCACAAATTGCCAAGCTTTTCTTTTCACAAAATTCTAGTTCGAGGGTTTTTTTTGCTTCCCATATTAAGATCAGCCTTTTAGATCAAAGCAAATAAATTTTGTTTTTGAATGGTTTTTTCACTGCAATTTTCTTTTTTGTTTGACACCTACTTTGATGCTATTGCCATGACTGGAAATAAGCAACTTTTTATCTTGGCTCAGTGCAAAATTTCAACTTCTTTCCCAGGATATTCCTATCCGCACTGACTAAAATAGGGTAGAGGACCATGGAAATATAAAAAAATGTTGTGGTTTCTGCAAACTTCTAGAATAGCTGGCCAACAAATTGGGTGCATTTTCGAAAATTCAACCTAACAATGCACATGGAGTGGTCTAAAAAATAAATGAAACTTATACTGCCAACTTGTGTTTAACAACTAACTTGTGTTTTTTTGTTTTTTTTTTTTAAGATTGTGCGTGTGTGAGCGAGGTGTGCGGACGAATATCTGATCGCTCCGCGTTAATGCAATTTTTTCCCCCTAACTATGCCAAATACGAAAGTTAACTCGCTTAAAAAAGAAAATGAAAGCCTCAAATCAGAAATTGCTGCTCTAAAGAAAAAATTTTGACGACTTTCAGAATTCCCTCAAACTTAGCGTCAACGATGCTAATGTCTCCAACAATGGCGGCGAAGCGAGTCGACCCGCGATATCACAGGACGAGACTTTGAACACCCTCCAATTTTATGGCAAGTCTTACGATGACCTTCGCATGGAAGCGGATAAAAGTTTACAACAGCTCTGGGCGTGCCTGAATGTCCTGTCGAAACGAGTGGAAGAGATTGGGAAATCCATCAAGTTGATTCAGCGCTACAGATATCAATACAACGTAAAGATCCTCGGCCTCCCTGAAATAAAGGCAAGTGAGTCAGCCTCCGACACAACTACACTATGTCTTAGCCTCTTTCAAGCTGCAGGAGTTGAAATTTCTATTCAAGATATCGCTATTGCCCATCGTATTCCCACAACAAACGCCACTTCCAGCCTGAGACCAGTTGTTTGCAAATTCACAAGAAGGATTGCTAAAGAGAAGGTCATGAACGTGCAGAAAGATGCATGCGAGGTTACAGCTTCTTCAATTGGTTTACCTGCCAATTGCACACTAGAGAACGTGAAGCTTTTTGATCATCTAACTCCGCAGGTTCAACAACTCCTGGCGGATACGAAAAAATTTCAAACTCGTAATGGCTTCAGGTTTTGTTGGTGTAAGAACTTCACCATCTATCTACAGCAAACCGAAGACTCCCGCCCTATCCAGTTCAAAATCCTTGACAAACTTGAAAGGTTTGCTCGGCAAGAGAGCTTACCTTTAAGCTAAGTACTCTGAATTTGTAACTTAGTCTGTAATTTAATTTACTTCTTCTATGATGGCTGACAACACACCCTTGCAATCTTTCCTTCCTTTTAATCACTTGGATGATAGTTCCTTTAATTTAGCAGTTTGTGAATTTTCTCAAGGCCCCTTGAGTTACGATGCCGACCGTCTTGAAACATTATTATTTAATCCTGTTGAAAAGCCTGAATCATTTAATCCGCTTTCTAGTCATCTGAATCCCGACTCTAACTTTATCACTCGCCTGCCCAATAGTGGCTACATGGTTGAGGAAGATCTGAAAAATCGAGTAACTTCTTTTGGCGACAAAACAAACTTTCCTATTATACATTTCAACACTCGAAGCTTAATGAGAAATTTCGATCAACTTAATTTATTGCTGAGAATTCTTAATATGCCGTTCTCTGTGATTGGTGTGTCAAAAACTTGGCTAACTGATTGCGCTGCAGAGCACGTAAATATCAGGGGATATAATTTTGTCTCCAACCATCGTAAATGAAAAACAGGCAGCGGAGTTGGAATTTATTTACAAAACAGCCTTGAATACAAACTTCTCAAAGAATGCAAATTTTCAGATCCAGATGTAATTGAGTCACTTTTCTTGGAAATTTCCACAGAAAAAATATTATTGTTGGTTGCGTGTACAGACCACCAAATCAAAATGCTGCTATGTTTATTGACAAATTCAACAATATTCTCTCACTAATTTCTAAAGGCAATAAACATTGTTATGTGATGGGAGACTTAAACCTAGACCTTCTCCAATACAATCATCATGTTCCAACACAGTAATTTATTGACAGCTTATTTTCACACGCCTTTCTTCCTCTCATCTCCAATCCAACACGCCTCACCTCATACTCTGCGACGCTAATTGACAACATATTCACCCACAACCTTGCCCCTTGTGTTTTTAGCGGCATTATTCTAAATGATTTATCTGACCACTTACCAGTTTTTGCATATTTTGACAACGCAACTCTAACGCGCAGCACAGAAAGAAAAATTGTGATGCGCACATTCAATGACGATAATTTGCATAAATTCAACGAGAACCTTTCAAACGCAAAATGGTCCTTATTTCGCCACATGGAAGATCCCAATGAAGCCTATAATGATTTTATTGAAGGATACTCCAGAATCTATAACACCTGTTTCCCTTTAAAGGTTCTCAAAGGTAAGCAGGTAAACAAGTTCTTTTCTCCATGGCTTAGCCGTGGACTTCTGAAATCCGTTAACAAGAAGAACAGACTCTACAAAAAGTTTGTCACTTTCGTCTTCCACATCTTCTGAGACGAAGTATAAAGCCTACAAAAACAAAATCACCCATCTTATTCGCATTGCCAAACGTAAATACTACGACTCCAAATTTGAGAATGCCAGAAATGACCTAAAAACAACTTGGAAATTGTTAAATGAAGTTATTAACAAGCGTAAAAGTAGGTCATCTCTTCCCATATCATACAAATCTGAAGGCAGAACATTAACGGATCCAATGAAGATCGCTGACAGATTCTGTAAATACTTTACAAACATTGGTCCAAACCTAGCTAAATCTATACCCAAGGTGAATCCTTCTTTTCGTTCTTATCTTGGTGATAATATCCGTCCCTCCATAAACTTAAAGCTCACCACAACAAGTGAACTGGAAAACATTTGTGACATGTTCGCTTCAAAGAAAGCTCCTGGCTATGACAGTATCCCAATGCATGTCATTAAATATTCATTTCACCTTATTTCTGCTCCATTAGCAGATATTATCAATCTATCTCTGCTAAAAGGCATTTTCCCGGACAAACTTAAATTCGCTAAAATTATTCCCATCTTCAAAGCAGAGGATCCTAACTTTTTTGTAAACTACAGACCTATTTCTTTGTCTAATTTTTCCAAATTTTTTGAAAAAGTCATGTACAATCGCTTGGTAGAATTTGCCGAAAAAAAACGATATACTTTACCGCTGTCAGTTTGGATTTCGGAAAAATCACTCGACATCGCACGCACTAATTCGTTTGGTAAATAAAATAGCTTCTGCAATCGATCAACATGAAACAACGGTGGGTGTTTTCCTAGATCTTTCCAAAGCATTTGACACTCTCGACCATCATATCTTGTTTGCAAAATTGAAGCATTATGGTATCCGTGACGTGGCTCTGCAGTGGTTCAAAAGCTACTTTTCTTGCCGCCAGCAATTTGCCCAATTCAATCAAGCTTGCTCTCCTTTGCAAACTATCAAGTGTGGTGTCCCTCGAGGTTCGATTTTAGGCCCTCTATTGTTCATTCTATACATAAATGACCTCCTTAATGCCTCTGAATTAACAGACCCTCTGCTTTTCGCTGATGACACCTGTATCTTTTATTCTCACTCAAACCAAAATTGCTTAGAATCCGTACCTAATGATGAACTCCAAAATATTGATGTCTGGCTAAAATGCAATAAGCTCTCAGTTAATATAAGGAAAACTAACTACGTAATTTTTAAACCCAGACAGAAGAAATTTAACTCCAGCATTTCTCTCTCCTTTGGAGGTAAACCCATACAACAATCTAAGATAACTAAATTCCTTGGGGTCTATATTGATGATCATCTCACTTGGAAACACCATATCAGCTATGTATGTAAACAAATCACTAAATCAATAGGTATTATATTCAGGTCTCGCTTTTTCCTATCCTCTACAACCAAGCTCACTTTGTACTACACCTTAATTTATCCTTATATCGTCTATTGTAACTCGTATCTAACTTAAATAGAATTTATTACTTGCAAAAGCGAGCTGTGCGGGCTATCACCAACTCAGACTATCAAGCCCATTCGGCTCCTTTATTCTCCAAACTAGGAATTTTAGATATTTTCCAAGTTAATACTCTTGAAATCACCAAATTCATGTTTTATTATAGAAATAACTTATTGCTTCCATTGCTTCTCAATCTTTTTGTAACGAATAGCCAAATTCACAACTATGGTACCAGAACAGCTAGTAATTATCGAACGCATTTGTGCTGCACAAATCTCAAGCAATTTACAATTCTTTACCAAGGGCCTAAAATTTGGAACTCTCTTCCTGTTTCAGCCACTCGTTCGTCAAGCCTTCTTAGTTTTAAGACGAAAATGCTAGAGTTTTTACTTACATAATCCTTGAATTGGCCTAGCCGCACATTCACAGCACTTTTTCTTTACTTTATTTATTAATGTAAGTGAGGTGGCTCTCCCAGAAGCCCAGTGGCTTCCTGGGTCTCCTCGCCTTCTTGCTATAACCGCTGTAAATAAATTTTTTTTGTATTGTGTAAATAAGGCAAATAAAAATATGATGATGATGAAGTAATTTGAGTCCATACAAGCTTTTTCACATCAATTTGAGACTCTGCGAGAACGCCGAGGGTTGTGTTATTGGTCACCAAGAGTGCCAATCAGGCAGATATGTGCATCATTGATGGAACTTCTTACCCTTCATTGTTCAGATTTTAATGTTTTCATTGATGAATTTAATGTACACTAGTGAAACGAAAAAGAGAAAATTCTTCTTTATAATATATTTATTAGAGATCACAGTTAAAGGCAATAAGTATCATTTTACACTCTGACGACAGAACCACCATAGACCATACTTACACTAATTTACCTTAAAATCAAGTCGATTACGCATTTTAGAAACATATTTTTCTGATCAAAAAGCGGTCTGTACACTAATTCAAACATAAAGTAAACACACATACACACACACAAAGGTCACTTTGTTGTGTTATTTGAGCCTAGGGTTATTGTCCAATTATGGATGGTAACACTGTAGACGATTAATTTTTCAGCTTAGCAAGACAACTCATAAAGGCAAGTGCTGTTTTATTTCAATCATTCGCAACAAATTATGTGAAACTTTCCCTTGTTACTTATAAAAAGTACTGTTTGTACACTGCCTGAAATAATCATGCAAAAAACTTTCCATTCAAATATTTTTATTATTATCCAACCCTCTCTCTCAACAGGTGCAAAATGAACAATCCTACAGAAATAAGTGGCTTCATTCATAATGTCTCCCCATTAAAGTTTCCTCCCTCCCCTAAAGTTTCATTTCCTCCAAAACCAATACCACAGAAAAACAACATCGCATCACTATCAGGAGTACACTTTCAGCAACTGATCACTGTGAAGGCCAAAGTCACTCATATGGGTGCCACTAAAACAGTGACCACAAGCAATGCTGTGAAGCCGAAGGATGCTGTTATCTCACTGACCCATCAGGAACAATAAAACTAACACTATAGATTTCACTAATGACGTCCAGGAAGGTGAGACCTACACATTTCACAATCTAAGAGTTATAAAAGAATACAAGTCCGACAATTTGGCTTTGGGAATGACACTGCAAGATTGCACACTGTCAGAGTCAGAATACTTCCCTGAACCTGTTGCCCAGCCTCTTGAAGTACCGGATTCTTTTACAACCACAAAGATTGAGATCAAGGGTTTGACAGCATTTGGGAGATACCTTTCCTGTCTACAATGCCACAAAAATTGTTTGAAGTCTCAATTATTGAAATATATTCCTTGTGATTAAACCAGAACTTCAGTAAAATAAGGGAGTCACTGGACATTTCTTTGCAAGTGTTAATGTGGTGTATAACATCAATAACTGAGAGGTCTGGACTGGGTACAGGCAGGTTATGTATTAGTCCTTTTCCTTAAAATTTAGCAGTTTGTTCAGCATACAAATCAAAGACTTTGCTACCGTTGATAGCTATGCACCACACTAACATGTTTTAATTAAAAATTACTTTTGAATATTACTGCTCAGGTATCTGTGAATGTGTCGTTAGCAATCAAGCAAGCAACAAGTTTATTTCCAGCTTCTAAGAAAGTTTTATTTTTGAGTTTCATTATTTTATTATGTCAAATAATTGACAATTGGAGAAGAGAGTGGCTAAATGAGCAGGCTGTGGAACCCACTTTACCGAGCATGGCTGGTGATTGCCCATCTAGTACTGTCTAGGAAGGAGATCAGTTCCCCACCTGCACACCAAAACCGGCAGAATGCCACAATTGCTGACAATGATGATGAAGACCACCAGATTGCAGACTTTCAGTAGGAGTTGGCCAAGCTAGTAGTAAGCAAACCACAAACATATAGCCTTCCTCCAAAGGCAGATTGAAGAGAAACAAACTAAGTTGGCTGTGGATGGGCTATTGGAGCAAGCTGGTCGGTCAAATGTCAAGGATCTTTGCTCTCCTCTTCCAATCAAAGCATAAACAACTCCAGTAGATAAAACTCTTTATCCAACCACCATACCCTCTGACACTGTCAAGCAACAAGTTCTGCTTTTTAACAATCTCCAGGTATCCCCAAGTCAAGAGCATCAAAGATGTCTCTGAGGCCAGCTAAGCTTCAAAGGGGTGAGAAAGCTATAAGAATTTCTGACTTTTGGGACAACAAGGTCCCTAAGGACCATGATATGGTTGATCGTTTCATGTCATCAAATTCACCAAAGACCAAAAGGTTTTTTCCAATATCCACAGCAGCAGCACACCTTCCGGCTTTTAAAATACCCGAGACCTCAGCCTACATCGTATTGAATACAGACCATGCAGGACTGATACTTATGGTATGATTATTATTTTCCTCTGCTTTTTCCAATAGGGAAGTTTCCAGGCCATGATCATCATCATGGTCCTCTCCATACACAAATTCAAATCCTGGTTTAATTCTAACATACAGAAGACCTTGGCCTACCATCTTTTTACCATTGCAAAACTATGCTAAATACCTGGGTCCAGTCCCATAATGGAAATTTCCTTTTGCCTTACTGTACTTTCAAACTCGAAATCATTTGATCCAATCAATGGAAACTTGTTGGAAAGGTACTCTTTAACAGATTGTCTTATTGCCTCTTCATTACCATTTTCATCTACTGATTACATTCCATTTGTGATTACTGTCAGTCCCACTTGCTCTTCCTCAGCACATTTCAAAACAGCAAATTCCAAAGCTTTCTTTCTCCTTTGCCCTTGGTTTGTTGCTGTTTTCCAGGTGCAAACCCGGCCTGTGCTTGCACTTGCCAGTTAGGGTAAGGCAGTGACCTCATTCTTTTAGAATGAATTAGTCTTCTTAAAACTTTGCTGCTTTGGCTAGCACTTATCATGCTTCTTGCCAACCAAAAGACTTCAGAAAAGTTAACATTGTTAGCATCAGTCAATTAATCAATCTTTAATGTACTCACTCTTGCTCAAAAATAGATTACAACAATGAAAATATTAAAAGTAAAAATTAGAGTACTGGCTGCCTGGAATAACTATGGGGGTAAAGCCAGGCAGCCAGTTGACATCAGCATTAAATAAAATTAAATTACAGGTCAGCAAGAAAACTGAAGCACAATTGTATACATAAAAAGAAGAAAGAAAAAAAGGGAGAAGAGGAAAAACACTATCTCTATGCTATAAAGGACGTCTATATATGAATACAAAACATTAATATAAGAAACTCTTGAGAGGGTGCTAGAATTTCACAAAAGACTAATTTACAGGTTATTTGGGAAACAAAACAACCGTAACTAATAATCCTTGACAAAATTACTTTTTACTGATTCCTTGAAGTTTGAAATAGAGAAGGTTTTCAAAGTTCCATACTTTGGGGCCCTTAAATCTTATGTGAAATATTTCATAATTTGTTCTTACTTTGGATAAAGTATAGAACATATTTAAGGCACTTCTTGTATTATAATTGTCTTTTATTGACTTGTGTGAAGAAAGTTTCAAACACAGACGGTAGACGTCTATTGTGAAATTTATACATAGAGACTACGATACTAAGAAAGACAAGGTCTGGCACTTTAACAATATTTAAGCATTTAAAAAATTGGACTAGAATGCTCATGAAATCAAGAGAAAGTCATCACTCATATTGCTCTCTTTTGTAAAATGAACAAAGGCTGGGTAGTTGAAGAATAGGTGTTCCCCAAAAAATTAAACCATCAGTTAAGACGGGATATATCAAAGCATAATATAGTTTAACCAGAATACCTGAATTCACGTAATAACGAAGTTTAGAAAGAATCCCAATATTTCGCTTAATCCTTTTAGCAATAGAGCTTACTTGACTTTTCCAAGATAAATGAGAATCTATTATAATACCTAGATATTTTATTGAGTAGCCTTGGTCTAGGTTAATGCCATTTAAATAGAGTGTGACATGAAAGGGTAACTTTCTTTGTGAAGGGTGGAAAATGACAAAGTTCGACTTATCAATAGTAAGTGAAAGTTTGTCAGCACTCAACCAAGTATGAATATTTACTGGTTCATTGTTTACTTTGGATTCAAGGACTTAAAGATTTTTGTGTCTATAAAATAGATTGGCATCATCTGCAAACAAATGAAAATCTAGAATTTCAGAGCAGTTTGTAAAATCATTGACATGTACAAGAAATAATAGTGGGCCGAGAACTGAGCCTTGAGAAACACCACAAGAGACAGGTTGAGGTTCAGACTTGGTTTGCCCCAAGGAAACAAATTGATTTTTTTTGGTAAGATAAGAGATGAACCAATCTTTGCTTACACCACAAATGCCATGATAAATCTAGTTTTTCAATCAAGATATTATGATTTACAGTGTAAAAGGCTTTACTGAAATCCAAACATATACCATAAGAAAATTCCCAGCAGTCAATTGCATGTTGAATCAAGTCAATGATGCTTAGGATAGCATGATCCATGGAGTGTTTCACACAGAAACCAGACTGCTTGCAATAAATTACTTTTTTCTTCTCCAAAGATTCTAACATTCTTTTATGCATTAGCTTTTCTAACAGCTTGTTGAATATTGAAAGAATAGAAATGGGACTATAATTATGTAAACTTGTTTGCATGCCATTTTTAAAAATGGGGTAAATTAAGCTATTTCAAATAAATCAGGGACAATTCCAGTAGAAAAAGAAGTATTGAATATAATTTCTAGAGGTGCAGATATATGTTTGGTAGCTTTTAAAATAGCAACTAGTATGCTGTGAGGCCCAGTAGACTTATTGGCATTTAGCCCTATGATTTCATTTTCAATTTTAACTGTTTTTGTTGGAAATAGAAAGAAACTACCTTGGGATGGGGCTGTGAGATACTGAAGGGGGGATTTATTTACACAAGGAATATTCTCTGTCCAATTATTTCCAATATTAGCAAAGAAATTTTTAAAAGCATCATTCACTGACTTAGGATCATTTGATTCAACATCCTAAACAAGTAATTTAGTGAGGGTAGAGCTAGATCTGGATTTAAGATTAACAATTTGTCTTATCCCATTCCAGACTCTTAGAATCAGATATGTTTACATGGAAATAATTTTATAATAATTGTTTCTACTTAATTTTAATTAGTGATTAATTCTATTTCTGTAAAGTTTGAATTTGGCGTGGTAATAAACAGATTTAATAGAAATGTACTTCTTAAAAACTTTATTTTTTACATTGATTGAGACCATTACAGAGGTGGTTATCCATGGCTTAGATTTCATTCTTAATAGACATTTAGAGAGTTGTATGAGAGGGATATGAACATGAATTATGCCAGAGATTCTAGTGTAAAAGGAGTCAAACATTACATTAGGATCAGGATTAACACATAAAACACCTTCCCAATCAACTGACTGAATATCTTGGATTAGAGCAGATTCATTAAGAGTGGAATAATCTATTTTGTAGCTCTTTAGATTGATAAGTTAAGAAGTGAATTTTTTTAATGAGGAAATTAGGTAGGTGATCAGTAAGATCATAAACAACATTCCCACTTAAGGTGAGGTGTTCCAAAGAATTATAGAAAATGTTGTCAGTTAAGAGTTTGTGAGTGGTCAGTAATTCAAGTAGGTTAATCTTCTGTATCTGGGTGAGAATCCAGTTTAAGAAGGTCAATATTAAAATCTCCTAAGATGATGCAGAATTTATTCTCTCTAACAATCTTTTCAATAGCAGAGTTAAGAAAATCCATAACGTTTTGGATATTACCGTGTGGATGCCGGTAAATCTCACCACAGTAACGTTGAGATCCATTTTCTATTTCTACCCATAGTGCCTCAAAGTCATTTGTTGATATTGTAAGATCAGGTCTGGTTGTAAATAAATGATCCTCCTTAATATAAAACCAACTCCTCCAGCATTTGAAAGACTGGGCTGAAAAGTGAATAAATAACTTGGCATTTCAATATTGGGTAAAAAACTTTGGTCAGCTTTAAGGTTAATTTCAGTGAGACCCATCAATGAGTAAGGCAAATATAACTCAAATGGCATATGTTGCAAATTATCAAAGTTAGCTGACAAGCTCCTGATATTGCAGTGCAAAGCAGAAAAGCATTTGTCAGAAAAATATTAATTTATATAATGATTATCATGAAAATCATGAGAACTACAGTACTAAAAAGTCATATCATAGTGTGACCAGGCTCACATAATGCACAACATTGCAATATTTTGTCAGAGATTTAGAGTTTCATCTGCAGAAACTACTTCCTATTGATAATCAAATCATCCCAAACACAGGATTTGCATCATAAATTTCCTTTGTCACACTATCACACCTAGCTTCAAAATCTTTAGAATTTCCAGCTATTGTTCAATTCCTTATACAAGTAGTACAGTTAGTTAGTTTAATTCAGTAGTTCAGAGTGTCAAGACCTGCAATTACAAGCTCAGGACCTCTTGGTCACAAAAAGTAACTCCATTGTAACCGTAAGTTGGTGACCTATTTGACTGAGGATTTGGTATGTCTCATTTGACCTTGTTAATATATCTTAGAGTTTAAGTTCAAGAATAATACAGTTCATATGTTCTTATCTCAATCCAATTATCAGTTAGTTAGTTTAATTCAGTAGTTCAGAGTGTCAAGACCTGCACTTACAAGCTCAGGACCTCTTGGTCACAAAAAGTAACTCCATTGTAACCGTAAGTTGGTGACTTATTTGACTGAGGATTTGGTATGTCTCATTTGACCTTGTTAATATATCTTAGAGTTTAAGTTCAAGAATAATACAGTCCATATGTTCTTATCTCAATCCAATTGTCTAGTCTTTACTTGAATCCTTAGTTGGTTCATGTTCAGAATTTGTCTAAAGTGTAGTCAGCTTTCAGAACATTATATTAATATGTACCTTTCATTCACTAGACATGTTATGCAATACTGATGTAGACTGAGTTCATTGGTGAAATCGGATATTTCATTGTGGTCTTCATTCTTTAGTCCATCAGTAATGACAGATGTTGTCCTGTCACAGAATAATATGTTGCCAGTTTCCTAGTTTTATGTCAAAGGGAAAATATGAAAATGCAATTGAGATTAGTTTTATTTAATATTATGTTGTTATTTAATATTATGTTGTTATTTAATATTATGTTGTTATTTAATATTATGTTGTTATTTAATATTATGTTGTTATTTAATATTATGTTGTTATTTAATATTATGTTGTTATTTAATATTATGTTGTTATTTAATATTATGTTGTTAAAGTGTGCAATTAAGAGGGTGTCTCTGAAAGCCTGTCATTACCATATAGCATCCCACAAGGTTCCTGTCTAGGATTACTTCTATTTACAATCTACACAAGTGAGCTATTTCAGGTGCTTTGTGGTCATCTTCCAGATGTCTATGCATATGCTGATGATACCCAGCTGTATCTATCATTCAAACTAAATTCAGATGCTGGATGAAGAAAAAAGTTGAATGATGATAAAACAAAATTTTTGATATTGGAGCAGCAGTTGGCAAAAGTCAAAGTTGACCATCTAACAACTAGTTGACCATCTAGT